TCCTTCTCTTCCTTCCATCTTCCTTCTCTTCCTTCCATCTTCCTTCTCTTCCTTCCATCTTCCTTCTCTTCCTTCCTTTCTTTCTTCTTCATATCTTCATATCTATTTTACAGTAATCCATCGATTTTCAACAACGGCTTTTCAAAAAGATTCATCAAAGCTGGGGTCGGGATTGCGAAACAGCGGAATGTTAGCTATGAATATTCTTCTAGAGACTGGATGGAGTTTCTGGGAAAAGGTAATGAATATTGGAGTGTATTGTAGCTTTTGATAGCTTTATCTTACTCCATCTTTGATCCATCTTTTTATTTAACCGTGTAAACCCATTCCTATAACTCGTCAAATCTAGAGTTTATCTGTACTGGATACTTACCTTCTCTTTCTTCCTTTCTTCATCCTATCTTCTTTCATCCTTTCTTCTTCCTCTCTAAATAATCAATAGCTAGAAGCCTATAGGAATCCTGTAGATACCTTAGGAACTCATAGGAATCCTGTAGATACCTTAGGAATTCATAGGGATACTGTGGGTACCTTAGAAGCCTATAGGAATCCTGTAGATACCTTAGAAGCCTATAGGAATCCTGTAGATACCTTAGGAACTCATAGGGATACTGTGGGTACCTTAGAAGCCTATAGGAATCCTGTAGATACCTTAGAAATCCATAGGGATCCTAGATTTTTCAGATATCGCAGAGCTGCCAAAAATTTAGACATATAATCATCTTTGATCTACAATTATCCCCACTATTTACCCAATTCCATCATCTAAACAAACCCCAACTTGTTCGAGCACAGTCCAGAAGTTTTCTCCACGAATTTGCCTCGCAAATTCTCATTGACCCTCCTTTCCTAATCTCAATATTTATTTAAGGATTAAGTGGGAAAAGGGGAAAAGTTTCTGAGAATTCCCTCCCTCTCCTATCATTGCTGTGTCATTCCAAATGATAACCAAAATAATATGATTAGTTTTAGAGGGAAAATAGGTCAATTCTTGGTACAGAAAATGGATTAGCTAGTCGTTTTTCTGAAAAAATTCTTTGCTTTTATGTAGTTTGAGCTTGAATTGGAGCTTTTGAGCTTGAATTGGAGCTTTTGAGCTTGAATTGGAGCTTTTGAGTCTAAATTGGAGCTTTTGAGCTGAAATTGGAGCTTTTGAGCTTGAATTGGAGCTTTTGAGCTTGAATTGGAGCTTTTGAGCTGAAATTGGAGCTTTTGAGCTGAAATTGGAGCTTTTGAGCTGAAATTGGAGCTTTTGAGCTGAAATTGGAGCTTTTGAGCTGAAATTGGAGCTTTTGAGCTGAAATTGGAGCTTTTGAGCTGAAATTGGAGCTTTTGAGCTTGAATTGGAGCTTTTGAGCTGAAATTGGAGCTTTTGAGCTGAAATTGGAGCCTTTTGAGCTGAAATTGGAGCTTTTGAGCTTGAATTGGAGCTTTTGAGCTTGAATTGGAGCTCAAAAGCTCTCCGCTTTTAGTTGATTTCTTGAGAAATTGGAGAATTCAAAGAGTGAAAGTGCTCTAGAGTGCTCTAGAAAGAGTGGATTTACAAGAGCACAGAGTACGCTAGCTTTAATCGTAATCTGCAAATCGTAACGTGCAAACAAATCTGCAAATCTTTCTTCTTTTTTCCACTCATTGATAAGATTTGGAGTGTTTTTCCAAAAATTTTCCAAAAATTCTTTCTTCTTTCTTGATTCTCTCAGCTTTTAAGTCAATGTTTACGAAAATTTTGAGTAGAAATCGGTGGAAATCGGTGGAAATCGGTGGAAAAGTGTTTAAATAAACTTTCGGATGAAAAATAGTTCTTTTTAGCGGGTTGCTATGACGGATGAGCTAATGACTGATGAGCTAATGACAGCTAATGACAGCTAATGACAGACAGAAGCCTTTTTTCAAAAAAACATAGCACAAATAGTCGAATATTTCAATCGTAATATCAGTTCTGGAAGTCATTTAACCATATCATTTGTTCATCATCATCAGATTCATCATAATAGAAGTTCCAGTTGCAGCAAGCTTGAGCCGAAGCCAGACCAAAGCTAGACCAAAGCCAGACCAAAGCCAGACCAAAGCCAGACCAAAGCCAGACCAAAGCTAGACCAAAGCCAGACCAAAGCTAAGTTCAAAGATTTACAAGAGTTTACAATCATTGAGCACAAGTGTGACTTCCAGCTTGCACAAATTTGTTAGAATTTTTGCCATAGCGCAACCGGTTAGGCGTTTACTTGGTATGAGAAAGCTCGCCGGTTCGACCCCAACTAGACGACATTTGGGTTTTTTGAAAAACTAATTGACTCAATTTTTCGAATGCGTTCCAGATTAGCCAGAAATCGAAAATCTGGTTGAATATTTTGCTCCTACTACCCTAAATAGCTTCGAACTCGAATCAAAGTGGCCAGCTAGGCGAAAATGGCTAGCTAGGCAAGAATGGCTAACTTAACCTTAATTCTCTCCTCATTTCCTTATTTTCAACGTTTCCCCATTTCCAAATCGGCGATCACGCTGCTTTTGCGATCTCGTGAAACTTTGAATCCAAAAATACCTTTTCTCTGTGTAGAAATGGCGCCTCTTATCGATAGTGTGATCGGGGGTGCTAAAAATTGGGCATAAACCGGGAAAAAGGGCTTTTCTTTTATTGAATATCAATAAATATTACATAAAATTCTCTCACCGAGGAGTAAAGAAGCTAAAACATTCGAGATTGTCAGTGATTTCGATGAAAAGGTTTATATCAAAGAGTTGCATTTGGAGTATTGATGTTATTTGATGTTATTTGATGTTACCGTATTCTCTCTAATAGTAGTGCACTCTTTAATAGTGGTGCACTCGCTAATAGTATTGCGGTCCGAGAGGGGGTTGAAAAAATCGTAGTGCACCCTCGAAAATTTGAATTTATAGCGCTTCTTTTTCATCTAAACCTTTTTGATTTGATGTTTATGTGAGCCTAAAGCTAAAGCCTAAGCCTAAGCCTAAGCCTAAGCCTAAGCCTAAGCCTAAGCCTGAGCCTAAGCCTGAGCCTAAGCCTAAGCCTAAGCCTAAGCCTAAGCCTAAGCCTAAGCCTAAGCCTAAGCCTAAGCCTAAGCCTAAAGCTAAAGCCTAAGCCTAAGCCTAAGCCTAAGCCTAAGCCTAAAGCCTAAAGCTAAAGCCTAAGCCTAAGCCTAAGCCTAAGCCTAAGCCTAAAGCCTAAAGCTAAAGCCTAAGCCTAAAGCCTAAAGCTAAAGTCTAAGCCTAAGCCTAAGCCTAAGCCTAAAGCTATTCACGCAAACAAAAGTGAGGCTTTTTTTATTCATTTTTTCATTTATTAACTATTCTTCACATGAAAAAGTTAGCAAAAAATCTAAAATTGTTGTGAAAAAGTGCAAAAACATCTTTTTGTTGTTTGTGTTTGTCAAGACACAAATTTTCAACTCGCCAGCCCACAACTGTATGTCAAAAGGAGCCAAAGGAGTACGTGAAAGAATTGCAAGAATTTTTGGAACAAATCTTATATCTGTCTTACTTTGTTAAATGATAAAACTCTCTAATAGTAGTGCACTCTCTAATAGAATTGCGGTCCAGGAGGGGGTTCAAAAAATAGTAGTGCGCACTACTATTAGAGAGAATACGGTATTTGGTGTTATTTGATGATAGATTGCTAAAGAAGAGCTTTGGTTTTTAAAGGAGGCTAAATTGGAGGTTAATTGGAGTAATTGGAGTAATTAATTCTGAAAGAATCAGAAAACAATCAGAAAAACATCAGAAAACAGCAGAAAACAATCAGAAAACAATCAGAGAAACGCTTTCAAAAAAGCTACGCAAAAAAGCTAAAGAAAACTACGCGACTACGCAACTTAACGCTCTTCCGCTTGCCTTTTAGCCCAAATTTCACGTATCAGCGAGGTCTGATTTGTCGAAATTCGGAGTCTACACATGTGATTCCCTTCGATGAACATTTTTTGAAGCTCTACGCCCTTTCCTAACGCCTTTTCCAGCTAAAGAAAGGTGGACAAATGTCCAGGTGCGCAAAAAAGGTCCATTTGTTCATTGTCCATTGTCGCATTTGTCCTGCCCTCCTTGAAAAGCTGAAAAATGCATGGCACGTCTATTTGGAGTGTTCACAAACTGCCTTAAAAGGTGTCTCGGTGGTGTAGTGGCTAAAAGGCTTGTAGTGAGGGGCGGCTGGGCAGGGGTTGCTCGGGTTCAAGTCCTCTTGCAGCCAATCTTTTGTTTATTTAGATTTTTTCACTCTGTTTGTTTGTCTATTTGTTTGTCTATTTGTTTGTCTATTTGTTTGTCTATTTGTTTGTCTATTTGTCTGGCTGTTTGTTTGTCTGTTTGTTTGTCTGTTTGTCTGGCTGTTTGTCTGGCTGTTTGTCTGGCTGTTTGTCTGGCTGTTTGTCTGGCTGTTTGTTTGTCGGTTTGTTTGTCTATTTGTTTGTCTATTTGTCTGGCTGTTTGTCTGTCGGTTTGTCTGTTTGTTTGTCTGTTTGTTTGTCTGTTTGTTTGTTTTGTTTTGTTTCTATTTCCTATTCTATTTCCTATTTGCTTTCTATTCTCACCAGCAGAACGTTCACAAACTCGTTGAAAAAATCTCGACTCTATTTAACTAGATTCTTAAGGAAAGCTTTTCTAGCTTATCTAGCTTTTCTAGCTTTTCTTCCTGATCACCTTTCTAGAAACAAAGCCGTTTTCTATTCTTGAAAACTGACGGAATCTCTTTAAACTGACAGAATCGCGGTTTCTTTTCTCGTTTTCATTTTTCCTTTTCGTTTTCCTTTTCATTTTCCTTCTCGTTTTCCTTTGTCGCCGATTGAAAGAGCCTGAAAAGAAATGGGCGGAGTTTTTTTCTTTTCGCAAGAACGCAAACGACAACTAATTTCCCCGATGACTTCAAATTCAATTCTTCAATCAACTTTTCCCTTTTCCCTTTCGCTCAACTCATTAAAGACTACATTAGAGACTATATTAGAGACTTTTCAGTCTCAACAATCTCTTGAAAAATTGCTTCCCTACACGATTTGTATATGCTGGCCGAGTATCCGCATCGGAGACAAGAAATGGCGAGACCTTTAGCGTTAACCGTTTGTGCGACAGACGGTGAAGTGGGCAAGGAGAAAATCGGGCAAATCATTCGAAGAGATCAGACTTTCGATCTGACACCCACTTTCTATGAGCTCATCTCGCAGCGACAGTTCCAGAAAAGGAAATGCTTTGCGGAGAAGCGTTCTTTCTCTTGTACAACTGATGTGAGTTTTTGAGAAGTTGGGGATCTAGAAGCTGGGGATCTAGAAGCTGGGGATCTAGAGAAGCTGGGGATCTAGAAGCTGGGGATCTAGAAGTTGGGGATCTAGAAGCTAGGGATCTAGAAGCTGGGGATCTAGAGAAGCTGGGGATCTAGAAGCTAGGGATCTAGAAGCTGGGGATCTAGAAGTTGGGGATCTAGAAGCTAGGGATCTAGAAGCTGGGGATCTAGAGAAGCTGGGGATCTAGAAGCTGGGGATCTAGAAGCTGGGGATCTAGAAGCTAGGGATCTAGAAGCTGGGGATCTAGAGAAGCTGGGGATCTAGAAGCTGGGGATCTAGAAGCTGGGGATCTAGAAGCTAGGGATCTAGAAGCTGGGGATCTAGAGAAGCTGGGGATCTAGAAGCTAGGGATCTAGAAGCTGGGGATCTAGAAGCTGGGGATCTAGAAGCTAGGGATCTAGAAGTTGGGGATCTAGAAGCTGGGGATCTAGAGAAGCTAGGGATCTAGAAGCTGGGGATCTAGAGAAGCTGGATCTGAGCTGGGGTCTGAGAAGCTAGGGTCTGAAGCTGGGGGTCTGAAGCTGGGTCTAGAGTTGGGGATCTAGAAGCTGGGGATCTAGAAGCTAGGGATCTAGAAGTTGGGGATCTAGAGAAGCTAGGGATCTAGAAGCTGGGGGTCTAGAAGCTAGGGATCTAGAAGTTGGGGATCTAGAAGCTGGGGATCTAGAGAAGCTAGGGATCTAGAAGCTGGGGGTCTAGAAGCTAGGATCTAGAGTTGGGGATCTAGGCTGGTCTGAAGTTGGGGATCTGAGCTGGGGTCTAGAGAAGCTAGGGATCTAGAAGCTGGGGATCTAGAGAAGCTAGGGATCTAGAAGCTGGGGATCTAGAGAAGCTAGGGATCTAGAAGCTGGGGGTCTAGAAGCTAGGGATCTAGAAGTTGGGGATCTAGAAGCTGGGGATCTAGAAGCTAGGGATCTAGAAGCTGGGGATCTAGAGAAGCTAGGGATCTAGAAGCTGGGGGTCTAGAAGCTAGGGATCTAGAAGTTGGGGATCTAGAAGCTGGGGATCTAGAGAAGCTAGGGATCTAGAAGCTGGGGATTCTAAAGAAGAGCGGATTAGAAGCACTTTTTCTAGATTTTTTAATTTTCTAGCTTTCTTCTAGCTTTCTAGCTTTCCTCTTCTATGACTTATTCATAAACTGACGTATTCACAATGACTCAGTGAACCTGCTTACTTCTAGCAAACAGTAAACAGCAAACACAGTCAGTGTCTGTATCTCTAGCGAAGCTAGAGCTGGTACAAGTGACGCCATTCTTGCTGCAGTCCTCCCAAAACCCGATCACGGGACTCCGATGTCTTGTGCTTTTCTTTGTCCTCTTTTCAGCTTAACTTCAATTAATCCCCTCCTTTCCACCCCAAGCCTATTCGAGGCACGGCATCACTTTTCCTTTCCTTTTCCTCATTTTCCCTTTGATCACCCTGGATCATTCAATGTTTTTAGACATTTTACTGAAATTGGAAAAGGTTTGCTTTTGCTTTTGCTTCTTTTTGGTTTTGCTTAGTACTTGTAGTTGTAGGATTTGTTTACTACAAGCTACTAGCTTTAAAGCTACAAGCTACAAGCTACTAGCTTTAAAACTACAAGCTACTAGCTTTACTACTAGCTTTAAACCCCCCAAGAAAGCTTTAAATGATTTGTTGGAAAAAGTTGAACTGAGTTGAACCATTTTCTCTTGGAATTAACTCTATTAGCGGCTCACTGATGCCATAGATTCTTTATTGAACTTGGAAAATCTTTGATCTTTGATATTTAATATATTTAAACGCTTAGCCATTCTTTTGGCTCATTGTTTCAATGATCTGAATCACTTGATCTGAACTTCAAGACTTGAGCGACTTGGCTAACCCGAGCGAACCTTTTAGCTAAGTATCCGGCCTCGATCTGACCCCGATATTCTATGTTTAGCCTAAAAATCCGATTTTTTTAATCAAATACACCGATTTGTTTAATCAAATATCGAGATTTTAACTAAAAAAACTCAATTTTTCTTATCTTTGATTGGACAGAAGGTAGAAGACCTTGGTATAGGTAAACTGGTCAATAAACTGGTCAAACTGGAGCTAGATTGGGAAAACTGGAGTAAAACTGGAGCTAGACTGGTCAAATTGGGGTAAAACTGGTCAAACTGGAGCCAAATCGATCAAACTGGAGCTAGACTGGTCAAACTGGAGCTAAATTGGTCAAATTGAGCTAAATTGGTCAAATTGGAGCTAGACTGGTCAAACTGGAGCTAGACTGGTCAAACTGGAGCCAAATCGGTCAAACTGGAGCTAGACTGGTCAAATTGGAGCTAGACTGGTCAAACTGGGGTAAAACTGGTCAAACTGGAGCCAAATCGATCAAACTGGAGCTAGACTGGTCAAACTGGAGCTAGATTGGCCAAACTGGTCAAACTGGGGGTAAACTGGTCAAACTGGGGGTAAACTGGTCAAACTCGAGCTATACTGAACAAACTGCACCGAAACTGGTCAATTTTCAAAGCCTCAATATGGTACCAGTTGCCGGATATCTAACATCCATGTTAACCCTGAAGAATCGTACTTGCTCTATCAGAAACCATTTTAACCCAAAGATCACCATATTTGATCGATCAAGATATCATTTTGACCCAAAAAACCCTCGTGACCCCACCCCGGAAAAGATAAGCAGATCCCCTGACAAGGGATTAGCCAAAAAAGGTTCAAATATCTAGAATCAGTAGAGATTCTAGATATTATTTGATCTATCAAATAGCTAATCTATCAAGTAGCTAATCTATCAAATCTATCAAATCTAGCTAATAATATATCTACTATATTATCTATTATCTAGAGATTTCCAGGTATCCGTGGAAACAATGGCAATCACAGCCCTTCCCCGCGAATCGATTGACAATTGGTTGAAGGAAAGACTGAAGAAATGGGTGCAGCTGAGTGGCCATGAAGGTAAGGATCTATCTAGATAACTAAATAATTAGATCTAAGTCTAATAGCCTAGGTATCCAGGCTCTAATTCTAATAGCCTAGATATCCAGGCTCTAATTCTAATAGCCTAGGTATCCAGGCTCTAAGTCTGCTGCCTAGGTATCCAGGCTCTAAGTCTACTGCCTAGGTATCCAGGCTCTAAGTCTACTGCCTAGATATCCAGGCTCTAATTCTAATAGCCTAGATATCCAGGCTCTAATTCTAATAGCCTAGGTATTCAGGCTCTAAGTCTACTGCCTAGGTATCCAGGCTCTAATTCTATTAGCCTAGGTATCCAGGCTCTAAGTCTAATAGCCTAGGTATCTAGATAAGTTTTAAGTTTAATTTTTCTAGTAATCTAGATAATTTTGTGGAAAAAAGAGCCGAAAAAGCCAAAAAGATTTTCCCCCATTTTCAATCATTTTTTCTAGGCACTGGTTAATGCTAAAAATCTGTCTTATATCTCAAAAAAACGCCCATTTTCTCTACTTTATTTTGATAGGAAAGCGCGTAGAAACAGGCGTACTGGTGTCGAGAAATGAGCGTTTGTTTGCGAGTGAATTTGGATGAAGCCACGCTCGGGCCGTTCTATTGGGCTGTTCTATTTGAGTTTTATCGATAAAATTCGTTGGATAAAATCGTTTTTGAATAGAAAAGCACTAAAAGCAGATATCTACATAGCTAGATATCAAAAAACGTTTTTCTGGATACCCAAAACGAATCCCTAAAACGAACGAACGAATCCCATCGATTTCCTCTCAAAACTTTCATCATTTGAAATGAAGTTTATGAAGTTTTATGAAGAAATTTCCTCACCTTTCCCCCCTTTTCCCCCTTCTCAAAGGGCAATGACGTCATTGAACCTTATTATTCAAACGTTTCCAAACGTTTTCAACCGTTTTCACCCTTTTCTTATCTTTCCCCACTGACACTTTCTTGATTTTATTTTTGGGGAAAATGAAAAATCAAAAGATTCAAGGGATCAAGAGCCGGGAAAACATTGCCTCGTGTTTAGACTTTGAGCTTCTTGCAAACAAATGCTTTCTAGTGCACTGGATTCTTTATTTGTTGAAATTGAAAGTGATTGTTGCTGTGAAAGCTATTGTTGCTATGAAAGCGATCGTTGCTGTGAAAGCTATCGTTGCTGTGAAAGCGATCATTGCTGATTGAAGAAATCGTTGCGTTGATCGTTGCTGTAAGAAAATTGAAGAATCTAGTACACTGCGTACAACCAAAAGAATCCAGTGGACTAGGTGCAACCAAAAGAATCCAGTGGACTAGGTGCAACCAAAAGAATCCAGTGGACTAGGTGCAACCAAAAGAATCCAGTGGACTAGGTGCAACCAAAAGAATCCAGTGGACTAGGTGCAACCAAAAGAATCCAATGGACTAGGTGCAATCAAAAGAATGCAGTGGACTAGGTGCAACCAAAAGAATCCAGTGCACTGGGTGCAATCAAAAGAATCCAGTGCACTGGGTGCAATCAAAAGAATTTAGTGGACTAGGTGCAACCAAAAGAATCCAGTGGACTAGGTGCAACCAAAAGAATCCAGTGCACTGGGTGCGCTTTGGCTTAACATCATAAGTCATAGAGCCGATCATAAGATCCCGTGATCGATTCGGAATCGATTCGAGAACTTCAAACTGTTCATCTCTTTTCTGAGATCCCTTGAATCATTTTCTCGTTGAAAGCGATCGTTGCTGTGAAAGCGTTTGACTGAAATAAACAGTCAAATGTAGTTAAAATGAAATAATCTAGTCAGAAATGTATCAAGAGTTCTCAAAAAGACGATATTGATGAAAGGCTTTTCACCCTTTTCTTGAGATCCTTTGAGAAAGATTTGGAACATTTCCATTCGGGCTGATTCTGATTAAGAACTTGAAACGGTTCTCAATCAGAATCATCTCTTCTCTAAGCTTCCCTGTATCATTTGATTGTTTATTATATCAATAATGAACAATCAAATCTAGTCTAAAATGTATCAAGCGTTCTCAAAGAGACAATATTGATGAAGAGCCTTTTTGAAGAAGAAGCCGTTTGAAGAGTTTGAAGAAGCGGCGAAGTCGATTCTTTCAGCTGATCGCTGATCGGCTGATCGGCTCGTCGCTGATCGGCTTTTGGCTGATCTTTAATGAGGTTTCCGGCCAATCATTTTCTTAGTTCCATATGAAGCACAAAAGTTAACAAAATTGACAATACGCGAGCGATCACAGTAGGCGAGCGGCCAATCTTTTCTACGATTTCTCCATCATTCAGTCCATCATCGATAAACCTTAATTTTTCCTTTTTCGAAATCGATAAGTGCACGACGTCTAATTCCAAACTAAATAGAGAAAGTAAGCTGAGAAAACAAGATTAAATGAAGTATAAGATTAGGGTAGAAAGAGGAAGAAAGAGAGAAAGAGAAAGAAAGAGAGATAGAGGAAGAAAAAGAGGAAGAGAAAGAGGAAGAGAAAGAGAAACAGGATACGATTTAGAAAAGTTTTCAGATGGATTAGGGAAGGGAGACAGACGATTTATAAGGGACGGAAGAGAAACCCTTACCCCAGAGGGATTTGACAGATCGCGAGCGATTAGCCTTGAGCTTTGAGCCTTGAGCCTTGAGCCGGCTTTGAGCCTTGAGCCGGCTTTGAGCCTTGAGCCTTGAGCCTTGAGCCTTGAGCCTTGAGCCTTGAGCCGGCTTTGAGCCTTGAGCCTTGAGCCTTGAGCCTTGAGCCTTGAGCCTTGAGCCGGCTTTGAGCCTTGAGCCTTGAGCCTTGAGCCGGACAGTCACTTTGCACAGTGATTTCTCTTGTGATTTGTCTGTAAATGATTCCCGAATGAGATTTAATGTTAAAAGTTTGTGCCTGTCGTATCGTAGTCGTAGTCGTAGTCGTAGTTGTCGTAGTCGTAGTCGTAATCGTAGTCGTTTGGTCGTAGAATCTATTGTCGAAGTTTATTTGAACCATTTTTCCTAAGAAAAGAACAAGAGAATCGAAATGGCTTTGGGTTTTGTAAATGATAGCTTTTCATATGATTGAATCTGCTTTTCACAATGAAAAGACCGAGAAAAACCGAGAAAACCCGAGAACTATCCTTGATTTATATTATAGATCATATTCTATTCTAAATTCTAATTCTAATCTAGAGATTCTAGACTCAAATTTTCAGGTAGCATCGTTCCCGCTTCCAGTCACACTCTCTACAAGAAACAGTGCTCGAATCGGGCTGAGGGAACGGCCTATGAGGTGAGAATGAGATAAAGAAAGAGAGAAATAGAGAAAATCGATAGAAATCGATAGAAATCGATAGAAATCGATTGAAATCGATTGAAATCGATAGAAATCGATAGAAATCGATAGAAATCGATTGAAATCGATAGAAATCGATTGAAATCGATAGAAATCGATTGAAAATCTTATTTTCTATAGATTTTCTATAGATACAGGATATTGAATATCAAATCAAAACAAAATCGAATCAAAATCTATTCAGGCAATCTCGAAAGATCCAAAACTCGTCTGTATCGGCTTCACCCCACGTTTCTACAAGCAAATTGAGAAAAATGAAGAGAGTGAGTATCGTAGAATATCTAAAAATTAAAACTGATAATCTGTACACGCAGCAGAACTTGAAGAATCGAAAAGGAAAGCCCTTACCCCAGAGGCCTTTGCCAGATCGCGAGCGATCTGGCATAGATGTGGCCGCATAAAGAACGCACAAAGAACAAAAACTGCTTGATTCGACTTGATACTTTTTTTTGCACGGCTCGCACGGCTTAAATCTTTTGCTATTTTCCTTATTGAGTTTGCTTCTCCGCTAATCCAACAATCAATCTGGCTTTTCTCAAGCAGCTTTTCGTGTCCATTTACCTGAAAATTAACCAAAAAAATTAGAAATAAAGATTTAATAATAAAAGATGTACAACAAAAGGAAGAAGAGTTGAAAGTGACGATGATTCTTGTAGATGGCTGGGAGTAGATGGCTTGGAGTAGATGGCTGGGAGTAGATGGCTTGGAGTAGATGGCTTGCAGTAGATGGCTGGCAGTAGATGGCTTGGAGTAGATGGCTTGGAGTAGATGGCTGGCAGTAGATGGTTTGGAGTAGATGGCTTGGAGTAGATGGCTTGGAGTAGATGGCTTGGAGTAGATGGCTTGGAGTAGATGGCTTGGGTAGATGGCTTGGGTAGATGGCTTGGAGTAGATGGCTTGGAGTAGATGGCTTGGAGTAGATGGCTTGGGTAGATGGCTTGGAGTAGATGGCTTGGAGTAGATGGCTTGGAGTAGATGGCTTGGAGTAGATGGCTTGGAGTAGATGGCTTGGAGTAGATGGCTTGGAGTAGATGGCTTGGAGTAGATGGCTTGGAGTAGATGGCTTGGAGTAGATGGCTTGCGGTAGATGGCTTGGAGTAGATGGCTTGGAGTAGATGGCTTGGAGTAGATGGCTTGGAGTAGATGGCTTGGAGTAGATGGCTTGGAGTAGATGGCTTGGAGTAGATGGCTTGGAGTAGATGGCTTGGAGTAGATGGCTTGGAGTAGATGGCTTGGAGTAGATGGCTTGGAGTAGATGGCTTGGAGTAGATGGCTTGGAGTAGATGGCTTGGAGTAGATGGCTTGGGTAGATGGCTTGGAGTAGATGGCTTGAGTAGATGGCTTGAGTAGATGGCTTGGAGTAGATGGCTTGGAGTAGATGGCTGGCGGTAGATGGCTTGGAGTAGATGGCTTGGAGTAGATGGCTTGGAGTAGATGGCTTGGAGTAGATGGCTTGGAGTAGATGGCTGGCGGTAGATGGCTTGGAGTAGATGGCTTGGAGTAGATGGCTTGGAGTAGATGGCTTGGAGTAGATGGCTGGCGGTAGATGGCTTGGAGTAGATGGCTTGGAGTAGATGGCTTGGAGTAGATGGCTGGCGGTAGATGGCTTGGAGTAGATGGCTTGCAGTAGATGGCTTGGAGTAGATGGCTTGGAGTAGATGGCTGGCAGTAGATGGCTTGCAGTAGATGGCTGGCAGTAGATGGCTTGTAGATGGCTTGTAGATGGCTTGTAGATGGCTTGCAGCTTGTAGCTGTGGCTTCCAGCCCCATTCTCTATCGGATTGTGGTCAGGAGTTGGTGAGACGATCGGCAATCCAATGCCTGCAATGTCTGCAATTTGAAGCTGCAATCTCTGCAATTCCTTAATTAGAAACACACTTTGAAACGCAACTAAAAGATATTCAAATGCATTTTAGCTATCTAAACCAGATCTAAACCAGATCTAGATACATTTTCTATCTCTAAATTTCTCAGGTTTCATCGAAATCGAAGACTTACTCGCTCAATTTGCCGACCCCTCGCACACTGGAATCATGGATATAAAAGTGGGCACAAGGTGAGGGATTTTGAAAAGAAAACGATCTAAATAAGCATCTAAATAAGCATTTAAATAAGCATCTAAATAAGCATCTAAATCATCTAAATTATTCAAATTTAGAACCTTTCTTGAGTCGGAAGTGTCAAATGCGAAGCTCCGCGCTGATTTGTATGATAAAATGATCAGCATCGATCCCGATGAGCCAACCGAAGAGGAACACAAAAGGAAAAGGTGAGTGAAAATGGATTGAGGAAATATGTTTACCGAAACCTAACCTTGCCACAAGAAACCCACCAAGATTTGTGCCTAGCTTTAGGCTTTCAGATTATGCCTAAGCCTAGCCTAGCCTAGCCTAGCCTAGCCTAGCCTACCGTAGCCTAGCCTAGCCTAGCCTAGCCTACCGTAGCTTAAGCCTAAGCCTAAGCCTAACGGCTGTCCCTTAGCTCCGAGAACTGGCTGGGATCCAGAAAATGGGGGTTTAACCCAAACCCAAATAGACTTGGTGCCGCTAGCCTAAGCCTAAGCCTAAGCCCAGCCTAGCCTAGCCTAGCCTAAGCCTAAGCCTAAGCCTAGCCTAGCCTAGCCTAGCCTAAGCCTAAGCCTAGCCTAGCCTAAGCCCAGCCTAGCCTAGCCTAGCCTAGCCAAGCCTAGCCTAGCCTAAACCTAAGCCTACACCGAGCTAAATCTATCACACTGTACTAGAGCCAACTTTTCTTCCTTCCAGTATCACAAAACTCCGGTACATGCAATTCCGCGAGCGTGAGAGCAGCTCGGCCGAGCTCGGCTTTCGGATTGAAGCGGCAAAGGTGGGTTTTTAAACTAGTTTTTAAACTAGATATAGATTGGCTAGTTAGATTGGCTAGTTAGATTAGACTAGCCAGTTAGAATAAGTTAGACAAAATACTCACACAAAAAAAGTGCGTTTTTAGATGCCGGGTGGCTGTTTGCAGAAGAATTTCCAAAAAGTTCGCTCTTTCGACGATATCGAGGCAACGTTGCGAGCTTTTTTCGGGCCCGATCTGCGACGAGTGAGAAACGCGATATTGGGCAGATTGATCAAAATGAGAGACGCCGTGGAGAACAGCGATTTCTTTGCTACACATGAGGTGAGTAGAACGAAACATTGTACATGTACAATAAAGCATTGTACATGTACAATAAAGCATTGTACATGTACAACGAAACATTGATGTACAACGAAGCATTGTACAGTACAACGAAGCATTTTACGCAAAAAGCATGTACATGTACAATAAAGCATTGTACATGTACAACGAAGCATTGTACATGTACAACGAAGCATTGTACATGTACAATAAAGCATTGTACAGTACAACGTAGCATTGTACATGTACAACGAAACATTGATGTACAACGAAGCATTGTACAGTACAACGAAGCATTGTACATGTACAATAAAGCATTGCACAGTAAAACGAAGCATTGTACATGTACAACGAAGCATTGTACATATACAATGTAACATTGTCGTTGTACATTGTGCATGTACATGTAACATTGTAAAAGGCTTACAATCGAATGGGTACTTTCTAAAGACCAATGACGTCCTTTCTAGAGTCTAATGACGTCACTTTCTAGAGACCAATGACGTCACTTTCTAGAGTCGTACTTTCTAGAGACCAATGACGTCCTTTCTAGAGTCTAATGACGTCCTTCCTAGAGTCCAATGACATCCTTTCTAAAGACCAATGACGTCCTTTCTAGAGTCTAATGACGTCACTTTCTAGAGTCTAATGACGTCCTTCCTAGAGTCCAATGACATCCTTCCTAGAGTCTAATGACGTCCTTCCTAGAGTCCAATGACATCCTTCCTAGAGTCCAATGACATCCTTCCTAGAGTCTAATGACGTCCTTCCTAGAGTCCAATGACATCCTTCCTAGAGTCCAATGACATCCTTTCTAGAGACCAATCACATCACTTTCTAGACTTCAATGACGTCACTTTCTCTAGGTTGTCGGCAGTTCTCTCCTTTTGATGTATGATCAAGATAAAGTCGGCGTTTGGGCGATTGATTTCGCGAAATCGACAAAAATCGAGCCGGGTCGTGTGCTGACGCATCGAAAAACGTGGACTCCCGGGAATAACGAGGATGGTTATTTGATGGGGCTTGACAATCTTATACAGGTATCACAAATTCAAATAGCTATTATGGTAAAGAGAGAGCTTTAATAGATTTCAGGGAACGTTTTAGAATCCGAATCGTAAATGCGTAGTCTTACGGTAGCCTTGAAACGTCTTTTAACTTAAGATCGGCTTTGTGGCTTGTCGACACTTTATAGAATCGGCTATAAGGAAACCGAATGCGAAATCGAAAATCTCTCAAATGACTAGAATCTTAACTTCAATCAAATCAATCAATGTAAAACTTCAATCGAAAATTTGACGTCAAAACGGATGCTCAAAATGGCGTTAAAACGGATGCTTTAAAAAGGCTCTTTTCTGACAGAGAAACACGTTTTTGGTTCGAGTGGATAATGTATTAGGTAGCTGGTGGATAACGCATTAGGTAGCCCAGTGGATAACGCCTTAGATAGCCTAGTGGATAACGCCTTAGATGGCCTAGTGGATAACGCACATAACCATGGTTCGATCCCTGATGCAGCTGCTAGAAGTTTCTTCAAAAGAAAAACCAAAACACCAACCAAAAAATCCGTCGTGGGGATCGAACCCTGATCGTGTGAGCGGGCGCCCACCGCGCTAGCCATTGGGCCACCAACGTAGCTTCGCTGGGAGCCTTTTAAACCCTTTTAAAGCATTGGTTTTCAATTTCCGCTGAATTTCCGATTGACTTTCTCTTTTCGTTTGAAAGCTTTTAATTTTCGAAGTTATTCGGGAGATTTTTTTTCAGATTCGGTTTCTATCATTCTAAAGTCATTCTAAAGTCATTCTAAAGTCATTCTAAAGCCATTCTAAAGTCATTTTAAAGTCATTCTAAAGCCATTCTAAAGTCATTTTAAAGTCATTCTAAAGCCATTCTAAAGCCATTCTAAAGCCATTCTAAAGCCATTCTAAAGCCATTCTAAAGCCATTCTAAAGTCATTCTAAAGTCATTCTAAAGCCATTCTAAAGTCCAAAACAAAAGCCCACCCTGAGCTCGTTTCTTTCCACCTTGAGTTCGTTTCTTCGTAAAGTTAAAAGTTTAAAAGAAACTCAAAAAATAGAATGAATCCGAAATGTTTTTCAGATCGTGGAGGATATACACGTCGAGAATGGGCAGAAACGATAAAAACATTTTGAGGGAAATTCGTCGAAAACGAGAAAAGCTAGAATGATTCCCAATCAAATTTTCCTCCGTACGGGTCGAGAGAGAGAGAAGAAAAGAAAAGAAAAGTGAGGAAATTATTTTCAAAAACTTTTCGAGATATGGTAATCTTTGAAAGGTAGTTCTTTGACGGGATTACGGTAGTTCCATAGACGAATTACGATTCTTTGACGGGATTACGGTAGTTCTTTAGACGAATTACGATTGTTTAAAGGGATTACGATAGTTCTTTAGACGGATTACGGTTTTTTGACGGGATTACGGTAATTCCTTAGACAAACTACGCTTTTTTGACGGGATTACGGTAGTTCTCTAGACAAATTACGATTCTTTGACGGGATTACGGTAATTCCTTAGCAAACCGCTTTTTGCGGGATTACGGTAGTTCTCTAGACAAATTACGATTCTTTGACGGGATTACGGTAATTCCTTAGACAAACTACGCTTTTTTGACGGGATTACGGTAGTTCTCTAGACAAATTACGCTTTTTTTGACGAGATTACGCTATTCCTTTAGATTGAGGTCACATTTTTTGGAATCCCATAACACGAAGAAACTCAAGCTATCGTTATTCGGTCATTTTTCTTTGTTAGAACCCTAGAATTTCGTGGATTCCTGTAGACGCAAAGCATTATATTTAGCTTCAAATTTCAATCAAAAAAAGCTACCGTTCCCCTCCCCCAGGGCACTCTTTTGAATCCCATCACACCCAAAATCTAAAAACAAAAGTTTACCGTATCTCGAGTGCACAATTTTGACGTGCCAAAAACCCATCTACCTATTCGATTTCATGTCATAATATGTTGGTCTTTGTGAGGATTTTTCAATTTTTTTCCCCATTTTTTCACTTTTTCCCCCATTTTTTCCTCGTCTAGTACAAAAATTGTGAGTGTCTTATCCATATATTTATTTGTTTTTTTGTGTGAAAAAGAAAAGAATTCCGCCTTTCATTTGCATAATTTCCCGTTTACTTACCAATCAGGCCTTGTTTTTTGATTTGATTTTTTATTTCATTTTTTGATTTTTGTGCAAAGAGAGTTTTTCCCCTTTTTACGTGATGATTTATCCCCGATTTGAACATTTCTCCTCTTTGTTTTTGAATGAATAAAGATTTAGAAGAGGAAAATTCGCATCACACAGTACCACGTCACTTTCAGAAGGACTACGGTAGTCCGAGGTCAAAAAAAGGACTACGGTAGTCAGAGGTCAAAAAAAGGACTACGGTAACCCTAGATCACTTTTTAGTTGGCCGAACGGGTGAGTTGAGAGTACGATAACTCGGCGAGTACGGTAACTTCACGCCAAAACACACAAAACAACTCAATCCATAGTTTATTAAAACCTCTCAACAAAACGCAAAACATTCAAAAAGAGAAGAAAATTCAAATGTAAACTGGCAAAATATACACTGAAAGAAAAGAGTGAAGAAGTACCGAAATATTCAATTTTGAAATCCACCAAAAATCGGTAAACGAACAAAGAGAAAAGCACGGTTGACTCGATGTGTGTGAATGAAGGAATTTCAAATACAAAAAATCATTAAAAACGATCATTAAAAACAAAGAAACACACTTTGGCAATGAGAATTAGTTGAAGTGATTTAGAGAGAAATGAATGAATGAATAAATGAATGAATTCCAAGTGTCAACAGTGTCATGAAAGTAATTTTGATGAAGAAAAAGATAATAAACAATCGTCCTACCGTACCGGAAATGTAAATTTTTGAAAAAAATAGCCAGAGAATTTCTATATACAATCAAAATTTGTTGGTGCATTTTGGAGGGAAAAATCACAAGTTTTGGGGGGGGGGAAGATGAATTAGTTTACCGTAATACCACCTGCAATTGAATTGCGTTTCCTAAATCATGCCCCTTTCTAGCGTAATCTTGTCTTTTCTTTTCTCCAAACTATCCACTTTTTGTCACTTTCCATATCCTTTGTTCCTTTCATATCTTTCGATATTCTCAAAGAATCAAACAAAAAGCGGATAGATTGGATAAAAATAGAGACAAGATTACGGTAGTCGAGAAAAGGGATACGACAAGATTACGATAGTCCTAGGAATAGTCAATTATCTAAAAGGCTAGGTATTACGGTACGGAAAACTCAATGACAAAATGTGTTAGTGATAGTTTTCGAAACGAAAATTCTCTACACATACCTGCCATTGCATTGGGTTGGTCCATAAGTAGCTAGTTCTTTTGCCGATTGACATTGACTCATTTCCCTATGGGTCAACCCAATATTAGGTGATTAAGGGGGAAAAAGATGGGGGATGAAAAAAAAGACAAAGTGCTTGGGTATTTCCCTAACGACAAAAAGGCAATCTCTTTCTCAGGGCATTCAAAAAACAAACAAAATATTAAAAAAAATTATTAGTTTAAGTCAAAAATTCAAAAAGCACATTGGGTAAGTGTAAATATCTAGGCAATGAAATGATATTCGGGAACAAACAAAATAAATACAACAAATTGGTGAAAAACAAATCGTTTTTTTTTGAGTGATCGAATACCCGGGCAAATGCACAGTGAGTGAGAAGAGGGGGGAAAGAGAGCGTTGTGTGTGTCAAATTTCAGTAAACTATGGGAAAAATCACTGAGATACACAAACAAAAAAAAAAACTGAGCGCGAGACGGTCAATCTCTCCCAAAATGAGGCCAAATGGAAGAGATTTTGGGCACCCTGTGAAGAAAAATGGAGCATAATGTGCCTAACAAACGAACGTCCGTCGCGATCAAGCTGTAGAGAATCTATAGCTGATCGGTGTTCACTCGCTCCAATTCGTGAGCGGTCAATGTCGGATCGTCCATGTCAAGATCTTCATCCATCTAGAAATGAAGAGATTATCGTTTCCAATAATGTATCGAGTTTTTAGTCATTAAACTTCACGAAATATACAGTCATCAAAAAAAAAAGTCTTGTCCGGCCAATGTTTTCTCATTTTTCTCCCGTTAGATCACATTCATATAAATCGATCCCAATTAGTTTTTTTGTAGTATTTTGTGAGAGCTTTAAGATAATATTCTTAGCTTTTTTGATGTCGCTCTAAATCGAGTTTTTCAAGCTACTTTTGCATCAGAGGGTAAAGTCGTCTTTCTCAGATTTCATTCAAGGCTTCAAAACTGCCAGTAGCTTTTCATTTTCACCAGAACAAAATTAATAAATAAGTCATAGACGATCCAATGCCACTATAATTGGAACCGTTTTCAATGGGATCCATTCATTCTTGAAATACAGGTTTTTAAAAATCATGCTCAAGTAAGGTTTTTCGATCACAAAACTCTTGGTTCAAAGGATATCGAAAAGCTAAATGATTCATTTTAACAACCTTTAAAAATGCTACATAAAACCATTTGTGATCAATATATTTGTATGTGATCCTATGGACCAAATGAACACTAACCAGCCAAGACTTTTTTTAACGACTGTACCTAAGCAGGATTTGCGGTAGATAGGTCACCTGGTGGTATATTTTTGTTTTTTCGGGTCAATCTTCAGATTCCCGATGAAAAATGTTACGTTTAACTTAGTGAAAGCTTAATGAATTTCTCCTTTTCCCAAAATCCTACCTCCTCTCCGTCGGTATCCGATTCAGACTCATAATTCACATCTTCGTTCTTGATTCGGAAAGGCATCTTGATGTCGTCATTCTCGCTGTTCAACAGCAAATGCGTCACATCTCCAGGCAGTGATGGCTCGGTAGATGACGAGGATCGTGACCTGAAATGAGAACATTTAATAACAGTCACCCCTATAGAAGCTCGAGTAATAGTAGTGACATTTCTCGCTCAAAACTCACACTTCTCCGCCGCCTCCACCAGTGAATTGGCATTTCTTCTTCCTTCGACAGTACTGACACCATAAATCTTGTCGATCGACGCCGAACCTCGCTCGGCATTTCTTCGCCTCGTTGATATCTAAAAAGAACAAATATTTTATAGATCTTTGCATACCAAAATTTGCACAAATTAGGGACTAAAGTCTAAATTCATTTGTACTCTTATCGCATTAAGATCATTTTCTAAACCCCATTTCCAACGACAACGCACATCCCAAAGCTTTCGTTTAAAGATCACAACAGATTACGGTAGTCGGTGATTGCATAGCGGGCGGCCGCACAGCTCAACAACACAAGGATTTCTCGAGTGTGTGGGATAAAGATCGAGAAAAGAGCAAGATGATTTTGTTGTGTTAAAGAGGATAACGATGAATGCGGGTGTTGAAGAGAGATGTTCGAAGGAGCACTAATAACCACAAGAGGACACTGATAGCGGGCACTCATCGCTCATCTCAACAAGCACATCCGATGGTCACTCACTCAACGATGAAGAAAGTGGATGCGGGGAGCGGGTTGTTTGACTGCTTTCGATTGATGAGATGAGTGTGCAATAGGAGCTATTTGAGCTATCCGAATCGTCCAAGAAGCTCTTGAGAGCCAGTGATCCGATCGGGAGGTGGTCACCACACCTTTGATAGCCTGCACAGCACTCAATCGATGGATGTAGCTATGCAAATGTTATCCGTTCCCAATCTAACATCATCCGTCCCCGATCTAATATCAGTTTCTTTGAGAGAGCCACTCTCTGATTTGCACACGCGTTCAAAGGTTGTTAACATTTCGACGGTAAATGAAACAGGAAAAGCTCTAAATTTTTGGGCTCTAAACTCTGAATTCTAAATTGGGGACTTTACATTTTACCGAAGCCAAGAATTAGCAGCATAGATCGCAATTCTAGTTCATTAAACCTTCACTGAAACTCGACTTTTCTTTCAACCCCCAAATCAAGGACCAAGTGCCGTCTCCTTATGTTGTCTACCGTCAAAAGCCGAGTCTTTCTCTCTCTTTTCTTCTCCCTATCCACTCAACACTGACTATCATCTCTTTATCCCATCAAAGAGTGCAAAAGAGGAATCACTTGACAAGCGTGGCCGAACATTCCCCTCAACAAACAAGAAATCC